AAAGAAGCTCCCAAAGAGTGATCTGAGCTCAGTCAAACGAATGTAAAGACAAGCTGATGTTTTCCCACAACAACAAGTCTTCGCTTCCTTTATATCGCCCTTGCATCCTACCTTCATAGCCTGTCTTATCCGAGGAATCTATTAGGGGCACAACCTGTGCAGTCTTCAACGACTCAAGGACGTCATGATAAAATCGAAACTTTCGCTCGTACTCTTCTTTCGTTCTCCTCCGTAGATAGTCTCATTGTTTATCGTGGGTCAAGACTACCCTGATCCCTACTCCAAACTCCAGACGCCCCTTAGGGCATCACTTGGCGTAGGTACGCCGGCTGCTCGGTGATCTGCTAGCGGTATTGTGCATCTAAAAACGGCCGTGGGGTTACTGAGTAGGAAGCACAAAGTTTACCAGCGCATCAGGTGAGCCCCCACTCGATCGGTGCCATTCCGCCGCATCTGCCCATGGCATTATCGATTGTTGAGAAATCTTCGCGCATTGTCGGAGTTTGCTGACTCGGAATCGGAGGAAGGAAGCGCCGCGGAAGGGCCGTCCATGATGACAGGTCGACGCGCCGTTGTTGCTGGATTGTGCCAGGTACTCAGTGGGGTGAGGTACATGAAGTCGAATAGACAAACTCTTCGAATATCCACTAAAAAACGGGTAGAATCTGCGTTTGAACGGTTCGATCGGTACCTAGACAGATACGCGACAGTGGAGACGACAAGCATTCTCTAGCTTGAGCTTGGCAGAGCCAAAAATAAAACCCGCTCCGACTCGCACTACGTATCGCATCTGTGCTTTGAGTGGCTGAGGTTACGCGACGCCTGAGCATTGAAACAAGTGAAGTCAGGCAGCATGCAACCATCGATAGCGCAGTTCGCACTGTACGAGGGCGGGTCTTCGTAGCCCTGGAGCCCTTCGGAGGCCTCCCAATGTAGTATACCAAGAGATATGGTTTTCACTCGAGGCGTCATGAGTATACGTGGAGACGTCGTAGCGCATCTGAGTCGCTCAGGGGACTGTAGAGGTAGAAACTGACTCAGCCGATGTATCGAGTGTAATAAGGACATTGGAACTGCTGATTGTCAGCTGTTGCAACCATTCTTTACACGCTCGCTGCATTTCTGACGCTCTTTTCATATCCCTCAACGTCCACTCTTTCATCATGTATGCCACCATGCGTAGCGTGCTTTTAGCTCTGCTTCCGCTTGCGGTCTTTGGTGCCCGCAAGCGTGATGTCGCTTCCACGCCCTTCCAGCTGTATGCATACAGTGAACACATTGGTGGCTTGCCACTCTTCTATGCCGATGGTCTTGCATACCTGGGAGAGCCCGCTCTTTCCAACAGTACCGATGCTGCCGTCGTAACCTGTCAGTTAGGCTTCTTTGAGCCATCGCGTACCCAAGTTCATCCCAACTAACAGACATAGTCACAATCGATGCCAACAAACACTTCATTGGAAACCCCAACGCTACCACCGCTACCGGTGAGCCCACCTGGTCAAACACAGCTCTCTTCATTCCTTCGTCATCATCGGTCGACAGGCGCGTGGGCTTTCTCCCACCCAACAACGGCACTGGCAACACCACGACACAAACATCGGGTTTCGCATTCTACGGTTCCACGGTGATGTTGTATGGTGAAGATGGTACGGTTGCCACGTCATTCTACGGCATGAAGGCTGAGAACGGCCTGTATGAGTTGCATTGGAATGACACGGAAGGCAAGGTGCCTTTGACACTTCGGAGCATGGCGCCTAGCAGTGAAGCGTCGAAGCGACGCTGAAGAGATGTTGTTGCGATCTGGAAGGCTCTCGCAGAGTTGTCGTTCCAAGAGGCGTTAGGCAGAGAAGCTATGGGTAGTAGTAATTCTATATCAGCGGACTACAAATGTGATCAGTCATACACCAGTCTGCAACTCCAGGGCTGATACTTTACATCGTCATTCTGCTTCGCTCCACTCGCAAGTTGCCAACAACCAAGTTCTCATCAAGTTCTGCTAGCGGCTTAATGCTCACAGAAGCTGTAAGTCGCCCTCTGCCATCCTTTCTCTGCGGTCTGGACAAACGCGCCCCTTTCCTGCATAAGCTTTTCGCGATGCTCACTTGCCTCTTGAAAACCCATAGGAAGGGAGTGCTTGGCTTCTTCGAAGTATTCGCGCACGTAGGCCATGAGCTCTTCAGGCAGTCGACCTTCCGTAGTGACAGAAGGACTTGCGAGTCCCTTCTCGGCTAGCAGATTGATGAGGTCTGGGGGGAACTTCGACAACGCTTCTTGGCGCGTCTTGTCGCTTGGTCCAAGTAGCGAGTCGACGTACCAGTCCATTTGTTGAGGCGGAATATTCGCCGTAGAGATGATGCGCTTCGTCGGATCGACAAGCCAAAGTGCAATAAAGCGACGATGGCCGGGCTTTGTAGGATCGATGAGACTAAAAGGAGAAACACGATGTTGACTAACATACGTTAGCCCAAGGCAGTGTCCGAACAGAATCTTGACCGACTTACAAGACATTGGAGAAAGCTAGCAGCCGACCCTCACGCGTTTGTACGTTCCCATAATTCTGCAAACATGGCGAATTCCCACACCCAAAGCCAGTGCCGTACACGTGCTCCATCCAGTGATAACAGTCTTGTCCAACGTCGAAACCCTCGTCATCCTGTAGGTAAGCAGACGTCTGCATGCGGAATGAGAGGCTGTTGTCAGTGATGTTATCACTGTCCAGGTAGTACAGGGCAGTTGCGCAGATGTTTTCGTTCATCTGCCCCTCGATGTGCCATCCACCCACAGGAAAGTCCGGCTTCTCGGGCGTGAGTTCAATCGAGGCCATCTTGACAATGATCTGAAGTCCCGTATCGCAAAATCTATCAGCAAGACGCTTGCCTGGTTGGGGTGCGTAGGATACGTCGTTGAAGGGAATTGGTATGATACGAGGTTTGCGGACGATCTTCCACTTGGCCTCCAGCAACCCTTCTTGGCGATCCTCATCGTTGTCGTAGTAATCCTCGTACCCTTCTTCCTCCAGGTCTTCTTCGCTGGCTTCCACATCACCACACTCTTCTTTATTGGGCGTCCAATTCTCTTCGTTCTCGTCACTACGCAACGGGACATTAGCAGCTGCAAAATTCGAAGACATTACTTTGACTTACTCAGGATTCTCGGGTTTACCGGTGCGAGTTTCCATACGACCGGCCCCTTCAAACTTGTGATAGCCGACTGCAAACCGCAAACACTGATCCCACATGGGTATGGATGTTTCGACCAGCTTTTCGATGGTACGATATATGTCGGGATATCTCGTAGGGTGAAGATTGTTGATGTAGCTGGTAAACTTGACAGACCCATCATCCTGGAAAGCCACATTGGCCGGCAACCATTGGTATTGATTGGACCAGTACTCCGGCGGGATGCTGCTGCCTCCAACGCTATAATCATGTCGGTTTTGCGCTGTAGTCGTTTCGAGCCCCTGCTGGGGAACGACCTCGCCCTTGCCAGCCCAGCGCTCTACAGCGTCCGTCACACCAACCTGCTCCTCACGAAAGCCAGAACTGCGCCCATATACCAATGGGTACATAGACGGGTGTACCAGATCCTGCACCATACTATTCGAGTTGGGATGCCAATCAGGAGATGCAGCGTGGTCCGACTTGAGCTGGTCAAAAGCTTTGCGAAGCTTGGCGTGTAGCTCGCTTGTAACGAGCGTGTCAGACTTGGCTACGGAAGCGCTCGCGTCGAGAGAAGGTATGATGCCCGATTGTTCGAAATATTTGGCTTTGCTGCGAAGCTCTTGAACACACTGCATAGCGTTAGTGATGAAGACTATTTAAAAGCAATAGTAACGTACGGTATCGAATGTACCTTCATCCAAGATATTCTCGAGTATGCAAGACTGCCTGTCGTCATGAAGCTCGAGCCGGTCATCGTCGTGGGTCCAATACTGGCTCTTCGCAGCGGTAGCCAGGTGCCAAAAGTGTTGGTCAGGAATGGCGAGGGCCTCATTACGCCACTTGGCAACGATTTCATCATCAAAGACCTTCTGATGCCAGTCGGGCTTGTCGGTGAGTTTTTCCAAAACATCCATCACGGCAAGCTCTCGCACAGGGATGATCTCTGATTCGCTTCCATAGGCATTGTGGTGGGAGCCGATCGGATAGAAGCCGTAGTTGCTCCATTCCCAATTGCGAAGAGGTAGTCCGAATCCAGGATATTCGTTCATGGGTTTGCCAGAAGTCCCAGTCATTGTTGTCTTTGAGCGAGTGGAGAGTTGTGATCTTATGAAATCCGTGTTGATGCTGCGCTGAAACGGGGCGTGAATCCTCATTGCTTTATACAAGTGAAGATTAATGGCCATATCGCAGGACCGCCAAGTTTTTGATGCACTAGCGCAGGCAACTTCGTGCTGCCTGAGCTGTTAGAGCGAAATAGAGCGAGATGGGGTCTTTGGCGTATTGGAGGCCTAGCCTTTACCCGTCGAGGATGCGCCACTGACAGGCACAGGACTCCACGAGAGGGGATCCACGTCTCGTGGCATCGATGCGTTGCGACGATGTTGTTCGGTTGAGCAACATGGCATCAATGCAGACATGTCGTCTAGCTTGGGTGCAGGATGGAACAAGAAGCTGATGTCTGCGAGTCGATCGTGGAGAGTTCGCGGCACTGTCGCGTCACGCGTTCCGAGGTCTGTGCGTTTTCGGCCCTACAGGGGCACTCAAATGTCTTGGCGCCGCCGCAAAATGTCTGTCACATGCAGCACACCTACTTCTGGCTTTTCTATCGAAGACCTTCGCGATACAGCCATCGTCTGCGCCCCTCATCACTCTTTCTGGAAGGTTCAACGAAATATTTTATCGCAGGCACCAATGTACTGAGGGCAGTATACAACAGAATGGATCACGCATAAGACAAAAGCAAGTTCGCACCACTACCTGGCTATTACTATCTCTATAGAAGGACGCCACCACCACGGCCAAGCACATCGGTACAGTATGTATCGAGGACCAGATTGCTCAGTCGTGCTTAGTGTATACCTTCACATACTTCACATGCTCATTGCCCTCGGCATCCTCATAGCGCTGACTGACGATCTTGTATCCTCCGAGCTTTGGCCAAATCTTCGTCCAGCAGAGCCAGTAGAATCCACCTAGTAGCAGAACGCTGACACCAACAACCGGGAATACGTAATATGGGTAGCCATCCGCGTTCCAATCGCCATCCGGAGGAATGAAGGGGACCAGTGCGAGGAAAATGTTTGCAGCCAGGTAAAGAACGGCAATGGGGAGATAGGTGTGCCATGGCGACTCCCAGCGTTCGCGCTTGGAGTAGTGTAGGTAAATGAGACCGGCAGTGACGAAGCCGTTGATCCAAGCGCCGGGGTAGGTGTACAGATCGGTGATGAAATTGTACGCAGGACCAGCAGGGGGCGCAAGCAGTACGATGACTGTAATCAGCCAATGCAAGAACAAGGCTGTCGCCGGCGAATTGAATGGCTTGTTCGACGCCCAGAATCTGCTCCACGGAAGTAGACCCTCTTTTGCAAACTCCTGGTTGAGGCGTGAATGGGCAAAACTGACGGCGAGTACGTTGCCTAGATTGCTGAGGGCAACAAAAGCGGGAAGACTGCGCGCTCCAGCGCTATTACCAAAAACGTTGCGGAAGAACAGGCCAGCCACAATTACCTCACTCTTCGCAAGATCGGACTTGGGGATGGCAGCGAAGTAAGCCACGTTCGCGAGGACGTACAAGATAGTAGTTCCGCCGATTGCCAGGGGTGCAGACCAAGCCAGGGTTTTCTTCGGGTTCCGAATCTCGCCCAACACATAGTTGGCATTTTCCCAGCCTTTGTAGGAGTAAATGATGCGCAACAGAGCTTGGCAGTAAGCATAGGCGCCGCCGCCACCATAGCCATCACCGACTTCCAGCGCGAAGGCGTTGTCGAAGTTGTGCGGCTGTTCGATCTTCAGATGACCAGCCAAAGCAGCAAAGCCAGAGAAGACGATGAAGAGTAGGATGAAAACCTTGAACACGCCGAGAATGCTGAAGAGGCGTATGCCCCATTTCGGTAACGTGGCATGGAGCACAACCGAGAAAGTGACACAAGCAACGGCTATGCCACGCGCCGCCCAGCCATCGGGTGCTTCCGAACCAGCTGCGAACAGTACGTAGCGACCGAAAGCGAGCGAGTTACCGGAAGAGAATCCGAGCAACAACATCTGCGCAGCAAGAACGCATGTCGCAACGTATTTAGGGTGACGGTAGACGCGCTCCAGATAGTTCTTCTCGCCGCCTGAACGTGGGATTGCGAGACCGAATTCCAGAAACACGGATAGCCCACAGAATGTGAGAATGCCGCCAATGATCCACAGGAAGAGTGACACGCCGACCGACCCTGTTGCTGCAAAGATACCAGAAGGAGTCGAGAAGACTGCAGCAAGTAAGCAGCCATTCGAGCGTATGAGCATGAAGAGTACGTACTACCAGTGCCGATCATCTTATTCAGGATGACAAAGACTGTGGCCGTGTAGCCCAGCTTCTGGGAATCGTCGTAAACATAGGCATTGTCTTCCTGTACGCTGCCATCTTCGTAGACCGGTGGGGAAGGCGAGGTTTCATCGTTGGTGTAACGCGCGACCTTTGCGTCGTCGTCAGCGATCGCGGCCATACTTGGGCTTTGCTAGGAGCACCAGTGGTACCAATAGCTCGCGTCTAGTTCGTGATCAGAATACAGCCGAAGCGATCGCTACGAATGGTTTGCGCAGAAGATAGACGGTTACGCGGTGGCCGGGATCTTGTAGGGTCATATAGCCGTCTGTAATGGCGCGATAACATGGTTGTAGCATGCCACGCGAATTAAATTGCGAATGCACTCCTTCCATGTCGCGATCAGCAAGCGCTGCAACATTGCGAGGCTTGAGTTGCTTGTGGTGTCCAAAGCTGGTCGCTCCCAAGAACCCTGAAAAGGAAGGTGAAGCATGTCGCTGGTTGGAATGTCTTGGAACATCCTCTCAACGATGCGCAGAAAAGGCAAGGGCGATGTCGTGATCGCTGGGCATTATTAGCCTACCACCAAAGTACTTGGCGCATTCTGAATGCCTTGTAATGCACTTCAAGGCGCCTCATGTCCGTCTTATGAAGATTTGGGAGTCTTGTAGAGTAAGGAACCGTTGTCATGAGTGTTCGCGGCGCGAAAGGGACAGTCCCGAGGTCTCTAGGGAGCGGTGTCGCTCGAATGACGAAATTGGTTCACGTGGTTAAATGCGCGCGCCGCGGCGAGGGCTTCAGGTAGTTAGCTGATGAGAGTGAACAGAGCTTGACGTGGAGTTGAGGGTTGAAAGCAGCTGGGGATGTCTCCGCGTGTCTGGTGCCAAACCTCGGAACTCCCGGCGACGTAATTTCCGGGCTGGCGCCGGCAATAGAGGGGGCTCACGAGCTTACACTTCTTCAACACCACAGACGGCTGGCTCCTTCTACAACCTTAGCTCAAATCCCATATATGCCGTAACGCACCAGAGGCCTCGATACTGAAAAACTTCAGATGGACGTCTTCGTCGCAACTACCTAGGTACAACGTTGGCTGGACTCCTGCTAGCGGTGTCCTAGCTGGAACAGAATCATCATCGCATCGCTTTGAAGCGCTTGCGAGGCAGCTCAGCTTCGACATTCATGCAGGCACTAATCTCTGCTATCCTAGATATCATCACAGTTTCATCTCAGGCCGTCTTTAGCCCACGATCTTACGCGTCATTGCGTCGCATAAACAAGCTTCAGTAAGCTCTGTGCCGAAGCTTGACCAACGCCACGAAAGCCTCACAGACAGCACGGAACATGCCTACTTAACGGCGTTTGACCATGGCTCGTTGCTCGCTCTCCGCGTCGGTTTGTCGGCTCTTATGGTGATGTGAGATCATCTCCGAGGCTTGTTAGTGATCGGCTTAATTGGTGGATAATTTCCTCCATCTTCCCCACGTTCTCCGGATCTCTCTGGGTGGATACTCCCCGCGCTCGATACACCTGGTAAGCATGCTGATTGGAGGCTTTGAACGGATAATTGATACTAAAGGCGCACTTGCGGCTGATGATGGTGCTCAGGGCACAACGGTAACCGGGCATTGCGGATGTCTTGAGCCACATGGGAATCCCAACCCCAGGAGTGCGGATACGATGAGTTGATATAAAGTGCAGGCCAAGCCTCAGTCTGCCAAACGGCGCGCATCCTTTTTCGGGCCGTGCGGAAACTTCAGCCTTTCACCATGCATTGGACCACACTCCTCCTTGGCCTGTTCGAGGCATGCGCTGCTATATCGACTGTCAACCGCAAAGCGTGCCAGTATCCAACTAAGAAGCCACTGGACGGTTGCCCTCAAAATACGATTCTGGTGGGCCCTGGTCGCAACTTCTCTACAATTCAGTCGGCAGTACTCAGCTTGCCGGATGACACAACACCTCATCACATCCTGGTCCTTCCTGGAAACTATACTGAGCAAGTAAATGTTACTCGGCCCGGTCCCGTTTACCTTTTTGGTCAAACCAAAGCGCCCAACGACCAGAGCAAGAACACTGTCAAAGTGATATGGCGCAATGCAACTGGAGCTGGCCTATCAACATTGGACAATGCATATACTTCCGTCCTCACCGTTGCGCCAACCTTCAACTCGAGTAAAACTGGCACAGGACCTACCGGCGACCCCGTACCTGCAGGTACACCTTTTGGAAACACCGACTTTCGCGCATACAACATAGATTTCAGCAACTTGTATGCACCCTACTCCGCTGGTCCAGCCCTGGCAGTCTCAGTGAGCTACGCAAATACCGGCTTCTACTACTGCGGATTCTACTCCTACCAAGATACCGTGTACGTCGGCAAATTAGGCAACGCGTACTTCTATAAGAACGAGATAGCAGGACAAACCGACTTCTTCTACGGTTTCGGCACCGCGTGGATTCAGTCCAGTCTTGTCTCCCTTCGTAACTGTGGCGGCGGCATCACAGCATGGAAGGGTACCAACACGACCTTTGTGAACAAATACGGCGTCTACATCCACGACTCCGACGTGAAGAAGGCCAATTCTTCCCTCTCCATAACCGGCCAGTGCGCACTGGGCCGCCCATGGAACGCCCAGCATCGTTCCATCTTCGCAAACTGCTATCTTGATGATTCGATTCAGCCCAACGGGTACATCAAGTGGGGTACTACGGATCCAAGGGTGAACTTCAACACCACGATGGCGGAGTACAAGGACTACGGGCCTGGGTGGAATGAGACTGCGCGACTGGCAAGCAATGTTAGCATTGTCATGGACAAGAAGCAGTATGAGCCGTATTCGACGCTGGATAAGGTGTTTCAGTATCCGTTTTCGGGGGAGTTTGGGAACACGGCTTGGATTGATAGACATCCTGAGAGATGATGTGGATGACGAGAAGCTAGATAATGCAGTCTTTGAATCTACAAGCTCTGGAACGACGAGCATGCCCCAGAAAGCACCCAAAGATACCGATCTACAGAACACTCCCTACAGAGAGCGGGTCTTCGATGCGAGCCACCACGAAAAGTACTTTCCGCAGTTCGTACCTAATTGTATTAGTAACAGATATTGATGGATTTTGGATGCGTCCACTTACACAGCATGCTATCGCAGCCGCCGTCCTTCTCTATGTCCGTACTGCAATGAGGGCATGGTCTAGTCAGATCCTTGATAACCTTTAGGGACTCATCTTCCTCCTCGACGCGGTCCTTGATGCGCACTTGGTACGCTTCGCACGACTCGCCTTTGTGATAGGGCCGATCGCAAGGTACACAGGCGCGTTCTCCGCACTTCGTACAGACACATATGTTCTCTTTGGTGTTTTCCCAATCTTCTTTCGAGATACTATCGTGCGCTTGTCCGGCGTCGCAATTTGGATTCAGACACCAACGCCACCCAGCGGTCCTACTGGCCTCGTATGTTCGCTCTAGAGTTTCAAATCTCGCATGCATGGTTAGCGTAGTGGCAAGTTCGATGTTGACAGACCTCATGATGGCTGCGCATCCCTCTTCCGGGCACGCAATACCCAGTGTTTTCTTCTCGTCGGAGGTAGTTGTGGTGTTAGCGTTCTTGATCCGAATATCTACGTGCTTCTGAAGACACGATTTACACGTGTTTATCTCATGGTCGCACTCAGCGGAAGGGTTGTACTTTGGGAAGAATTTGTTCTTTCTATTGGTGTCGCAGATCTTGCAATGATAACGTGCCGGCTTCCGTTTCTTGACTGATGGTGACGATGCGTATCATCGTCTCGCTTTCGTTTCGCCATGGTAGTTTGCATGAGACTTTGGGGAGCGGCGGAATAAGCAGAATGAGCCAAAGCATTAAATGATCATCTATCACAGTTGTACACATTCAAGAAGCTTGAAGAAGGAGCAAGAGTAATCGTGGAACGCGCAGTGCAAGCAGACCAGACAAAAAAACGACTCTTCGACCTTCTCGCTATCTCTGCAACGGATTCCCATGGACAACCAGACACATTCCATCTCGGCAATTTCTTGAATTCATGCCGTCTTCGCAGCACTATCATACTCCTTCCAAATCAGCCCCTCAGGCAAAACCCTCCACTGCCCCTCCCCATCCAGCAAACCCCCCATCTTCGCCCACTCCTCCCTAATAACACTCTCCCTCCCCTCATCCCTCGGCACAATCCTCGCTTTGAAAGGACGCGGCTGCACCAACATGCCCTCCGTCAAATCATCCATATCAGGCATAAGCACACCGCCCTCCCCATCACTCGCGGGATGGAACTCAAACGCCCACAGTAACCGCGCAATAGCCAGAAACAGCGACCGCTCCGCAATATGCATACCCTGACACAACCTTCTCCCCGCGCCAAAAAGAAAATGATCCCGCTTCGACGCATCAGCGTTATTCGCCGCTTCCGCCGCCGTCTGCCCATCCTCATAATATCTCTGCGGATCAAATCTTCGTGGATCAGGATGACGAGCCGGATCGTTATGGATGGCCCAAACATTCCACAGCACACCCGCGCCTTTGGGGATTTTGAACCCCATGTACTCGTCGTCTCGGATTACGGCGTGCGGGACTCCGAGGATGGCGGTGGGCATCCAGCGCATGCTTTCTTTGACGCAGCTGCGGATGTAGGGGAGGTTTGGTAAGTCGGAGAGGGTGGGGAGGCGGGCGCCGCAGATGAGGTCGAGTTCTGAGCGGGCGGTGGCGGAGACGGTGGGGAAGAGGATCATTGCTTGGATGACTTTGGGGGGTTAGTTGCAACGATGGTGGGTATCAGGGGGTGAGTTTACGCACAGCCGATGAGAGTGGCGGATGTGGTGTCTGATCCTGCCTCTAGCAACGAACCGCTCACGTATCCTGCGAGCTCATCTGAGAAGTTCTCCTCGTCCTGCGCGCGTACTAGGTCGACGCAGAAGCAGGGTTTGGCAGTCCCGTTTTTGATTGCTTTCTTTACGTTTAGCCAATGGCCGACGTATAGCTCACTCTCTTTTTCGTGCAATTCCTTTGCGTATTTTCGTAGGGGAAGCGCGAAGTCGGGTAATGAGCGCAGTATTGGGAAGAGGTCGACTAGTTTGGCTGTAGTCTCACCCATGAGTTCGGAGAACTTCTCGAAGCCCTGTAGTGGTGTTAGAGGGACAATAGATTCCAGAGGTTCGACCTACCGAGTAGAGTTGTTTCAACTTGGGGTCGTCGATGCTTGTAGTGCGGAACCCGAAGATCATCTGCGTGGTCAAAGAGTTGGTGTAACGACGAATGTGGTCGATGAAGAGATCTGGGCTCTCCAAGAAGCCGAAAAGCATGGCCTTGTTCTCTAATTCTTGGTATGGCACATATGTGCGCGCCGCCTTGACATTGAGGTTGATATGAACAATTTTCCGAATCATGCGCCATGTATCACCATACGGCTATAACAGTCAGCTCAATCACCAATCGAAAGTATTGAAGAAGCTTACCATGAGCAGCATACGACACCCATTGCTCACAATCTGGCCAAGGTACATATCTGGGCGCGACGAATAAATCCCGCTCCGTTTATCAAGCAGATCCTTTACAGCCTGGTCCGACGACAACACGACCGTGACCTTGGTACCCAAAATGAGCGAATACATTGGCCCGTATTCTTCGGCCCACTTTTGGAATTGTAGATGCGGCTTCTCTTTCGGCATTAGATGCAGATTTCCTATGATGGGGAGTGTTGGTGGGCCTGGGGGGTAGTTGGCGGGCCTGCGACCGACGCCGCGGAGGCTGTAGGCAGCTACTGCTACCAGGGCAGTGAGTACAGCGTAGAGTGCGAGAGACATGGTGATGTGGAAGAAGTGTCAACTGATTGCAGAGTGTTCCAAACCTGCCGTAGGAATCGAACGGCAAGGGACCTTCCACGCCAGAGCAACCTTCCTCCGAGGGGCTTGTCTTTATGTTCCGGCCCATCTCATCGGTCAAGTATGTTGTCCATGCAAAGGCCAGCATCAGATAACACTCCGCATACAAAGCTCTTTCCAATTCGCTCATCTTGTCTCCCGTCGAACGAGGCTGCAGTCATCAACATGGTAATTTACAGGGGCCGGAGAGATTATGCATCCACTGAACGGTTGGGGTAGTTAGCCGAGACCCACCACTGTAGTGCTGACAGGTATCCTAGTACTGGATATACCTTTGCGGCGAGATGCTGCGAACATCTTGTATATACCTCCATGCTCGCGCGGGGCATGCATATGCGGTGCATGGCCGGATGGAGACTTTCTGTAGATGATCCGGATGGTGCAGCTCGACCAAAACTCTTTACTTCGTTACCCTTTACTCGTCAATCGCCAATATATCATCAAGAAAGAAGCAGCGGATTGAAATGCGGTATTACATGTATTTTATCAAACAGATTCAACCATCTAGACAGGATATATGTCATAACCAGAAGACTGCGGATGATGGACGATAAGGAGGAAGGAAAATGTATGCACTATACACAAGACGACGAGGGGGAGTATGCAACCCGTCTCACCCCTGTTCCCCAGTACACAAAACTACAAGACCACAGGTATCGAACTAAACGCCAAGGATATAGAGACAGGCAGACATGAGAAAAGGCATAAGGAGGTAAAAGAAAATATGGGTAATGCGATTATAACGCGATCAAGCCCATGATGGCGACGATGATGGCGAAGACAGATCCCCCCATGCGTCCGAGGCCTGGCTGGACGACGGATCCAGCACCAGTGCTGCCAGTTGTACCTTGAACAAACTGGCCTTCAGCGGTGGCGCCGCTTCCAGACGAGCCCGTCTCTTGCGCAGGCGAATTTGGTTGTACGGCAGCTGATGTCTCGGCGACTTCTCGTCCAGCGCCACCTCCAGGGTTACCGCCAGGTACCATGGCAACATCGGTGGCCTTGGAATCGTCGTCTTTGTCCTTGGCCTCTCCTGGGTTCTCGCCGGTGCCCATGAGCGAGCCCAGAACGACTAAATCGTCTGTGATGGCGACGGTGTTGTTAGTACCGGCTTCATCCGTGTACTTGTAGGTCTTCTTTCCCTTGATCTGCGCACCCTCCGGTGGGTCGTAGCACTCTACGGTGACTTCCGAGAAGCGGGCGGCGTAATATCCGTTGGTCATGTAGGGCGAGTTCCAGTCGATCTCTCCTCCCGCCCACTCAATGGTACCCTTTTCGTTGGAAGGCAGACCGGCAGGCCAGAGAGAAAGCATGATGCGCGCGGGTGTCTGGGGGTAGTCGAAGCGGCCGGATGTCTTGTTCCAGGTATCGGAGCGCTCGAGTCTACGCTGTTCCTTGCCGTTGATGGACCATACCAGGGTGTCTTCCTTCCAGTCAACGCAGTATTCGTGCATGGTCTCGACCGTGTTCGCGTCCGGTACAGTAAGGTTCTCGCCGTTGGTGTCTGGAATCGCGTTAGTCATGTACGAGGGTGGCTAAGCCCGAATGTCGGATTACTTACACACTGTGACACCCTGAGAGTAGAAGTTGGACTGCACGTGGCTTGTGTCCACGCCAACCCACTCAAAGTCGATCTCGTCCTTAACATCCGACATGAGAATGAAGGCAGTGACGACACCCTTGCCCTGCGCCGTGGAAAGCTTGGAGCAGATCTTGCCGTACCAAACGTAGTAGGTAGATGCCAGTAGTGTCCCGACTGTCCCTTGCGCCATAGTCAAGAGCGTTGACTTCTCCTTGGTCTTGGGGTCTGTGTATATCGTGGGCATGCCCTGCGACTGCCAGTTAATCTTGGAGGCATCGCCGAGGTACTTGTCGATGGTCTGCACATCGTCGAGGTTGTCTAGTGTGTATTTTCCGGATTTGCACACGGGACCGGGAACGCACGAGTCGAAGCTGTGTGACATGAGGGGATCGCAGCCACCGAGGCAGAAAGCGCCGACACCGCAGTCGCCATATACTGCGACTTTGTTAGCACCAACCCCGATGCGATGGAATTTTGCGATACGTACGAGAGCAGCATGGCGTGTCCTGAGGGCAGTGGCTATCCTTTGTGCATTTCGCTCCGGCGAGCGCTGTGCCTACCAGTACTGTCGCCGTCAAGGCGGCGGACAGCAGACTTCGTACCATGATGTCGGACCGTTTGCGGGATCGTCGATGTCGTGTAAGCACCTTATCGTCGGCAAGTGGAGTAGCGCAGCGATCAAGATGATGGTATCACGACCTCTCTTGTAGTTATCGTAGGCAGGTACGCTCGATGGTTGGATGAAACAGCAGGTGTAGGGGCCCGGGCGGTTGTGCGGCGAGCAAGGGAAGGGCGCACGCGTGAAATTCGTGGTTTGTGTTCCCCTGAGATGGTACGGCGAACAAGTTTCGAAAAGCGAGGGTCTTTAGGAAACGAAAGATTAAACTGCCTGGTTAGTAAAGCGAAGGTGGTCCCGAAGGATAAGAAAGGGCACTGAGGGAGTGAATCGAGGCAGGAGCGAGCGGCGACACTCTCTTTGAAGAAGGGGTGGCCCGCCGCGCAGATACGGGGCACCATCCGCCTACGATCACGCTAGGCCGTAAATCACGGAAGGGCTAGCCGTTTGTGTCGCGTGTTAAATGCATCCGCGGCAGCGTCGCACTTCAAACATTGTTTCCGGCGTCCTCGTGAGCACTTCCATCGCGCTTCAACTCTTGAAACAGTTGTGAAGCCAACCCCTCGAAATGAAAAGTTGACAGCTAACATCGTCCCTGCATGGCCTGCCCTGACGATCCTGGTGTTGCGCTCCGCTATCGCCACCCTGCATCTATCGATAACCGCTAATGTCTATTCTTGGACCACCGTGCAGGACCCTTCGCGCCCCACGTGCTTGCTTGCCCCATTGATTCCCTGGACAATTGTCGTCATACTGCACTCACGAGTTTGCTTCATAAATTGAAATGCTGTTGTACATTGCGCTGTCGTCGGTATCGTGGAACGCTGCTGATGTTTGCGGGATTGTGGACCCATTGACGCAGGTCCGGGGTAGGCGGCAGAAAACGAGCACGTACACGTCGCCTGACCATCGCTATTTGCATCATGATTAGGTTACATCCACCAGCCGACAAAGAGCCGCTCAGACCACCGCAAGGCCAGCCAGCAGACGGCCACTACACATCACAGCCTCGTGGCGACCCTTCAAAGCTTCACGACAGACAGTGTGCTAAAAACATCGCGCATACTAGTAGTATTGAACATTCTGCATTCTGACATGGTGTGATCAAACTAGCACCGTCTGTCCACGTCAATACTTCCAAGCCTTGGTACCCAACGATCGCCAGAGATGAGCGGCAGATTTGTCACAAGTCCTCCAATCGACCCCTCCATCCCAAGCAAGTAGGCCACTGACGCAGCTTGAGTGTCGTGGCAGAAGCCGGACGTAGGTTTTGCAGTAGGCGTGCTCACAGTGTGTAACTCCTACTTCTACCACGACACTGAGTGTGGTCAAGTACCCTAGTCCTCTTTCAACTGTGGGCACAACTGCCTGTGGCCCTTCTTCCAGTCTTTCTTCTGACAAACCTCGGAACAGTACCGAGCCATTTTGCATCCACCGCATCTGTCTAAAACCCCACCCTTCTCGTGGCGCTCAGCACCGCACTCCCAACACGTGCCTTCCTTCGCACCGAGGTCTACCAGACGAGGCTCGGGTGTATCCACAGGTGCTTGAGCTTTTGGCTTCGCAGGAGGCGAAGGTGACGGTAGAGAAGCAGGATCGTCGGTGTTGATGGGTGAAGCAAAGATGACTGGTAGTGCGACACGAACGGCGTGTTTGAGAAGATCTTTAGACTGCTTGAGATCTTTGAGGTAGTTCGTAGGGAAGACGCCGTAGCCGCACGTGCACATGTAGCGCTTGCTGGGGTCAGTGGAGATGGGAATGCATCCTGCGACCTTGTACTCGCATGTTGGCTTGTGCTGCCACTGGCGGCATCGCTCGGCAAATCCTGGCAGTAGATGCTTCCAGAAGGCGACTTCATCTTCCTTCATCTTGATGCCCACGGCGTCGTCGCGACGCGCTGCGAGAACAGCGACAAGCGGCGTCATGTCCGCGCCCGTATGGAAAGGAACATATGCAGCATCGACGAGAAGAGTTTGGTTCGACAGATCCATACGGACCGAATCGATATACAGTATGCCGAAGAATGACGTGGGTGTACAGAATTGAATGATCTTTGCCTGTGCTTGGCCTTCTGCCCCAACAAGGTGTGCATAGATACTCTGTAGGGTCTCCTTCACACCAAGGCGTCCAGGCATGGTTGATGATACGTCAGCGAGAGACTTCTGGTAGCTTTCAACTCTCCTGCCGACATCGTAGCCATGGGAGAAGGATGTAAGCCGATCCACTTGGCAAACGAGGCCTTCTGACCAAGGAGAAGTTTTGGTAGAACATCAGGTTGAACGTAATGTAGTTGTTCGAGAGAAACCTCAGATCTGTGGTTTGTCAGTGGATGCAGATTAAACCCCTTGACCCACTTACTGCGCATTAAGATGGACGGGCATCATGGTATCTGGGCGCAGAAGGATTGCTGCTCCACTCTGCACGGCAGCCGTGTACTCTATCCATAGTGATTTGCGTGCGATCTTGGTCTTGGCACTGGCCACATTTGGTGGGAATGGAAGTACTACATCCATTTGATACGTCTTCCCAATGGAGAGCCTTAGTGTGAATGCCGTCGTAGTCTCGAACCCGACAATGGCTCCACTTTGCAGAAGCTCCTTTGCTTTTCCTAAGTTTACAGAGTAATGTACTCGCAGTGATTCGACTTCGTTCCTGTTGCTACTGACGAACGGATGTATGGTAGCGATGACATCAGTCACTAGACCCATGTTAGCAAAAGCCGTGATCGTAGAGATGTCCGACCTACCATCAGTCACCTTGGACGTGGCAACCTTGTTCACGGAAACGAATCCTTGAAAGTCTGGCCGATATCTCGAGGCAAAGACGTCTTTTTGGCCGACAGCAGATCGGTGCACATGCAGAAGCATGCCAAATATGGACATAAACTGCAGCTGAGCTGTTGGAGTACTCTTGAGCCCAAAGGTAATGCCACAAGCATCATCCTCCTCTTCGGTGAGGGTGCACGTGGAGACTATAGTGGATACGATCAATGGCGACTTTCCCTTCCAGCCCTTGTCATCTTCTCGGACCGTTACTCGATAGTCATTCGTGAACGCCGAACCAGAAGTCTCGATCGTTCCAAAACCCATCTGTATGTCCGTGTAGAGAGCCTCTTTCGGACTGATCGACGAGTTGAGCTGGAGCTGGCATAACGGAGTACCGTGGCCGTTGGCAAGGTCTCCGAACATCGAGACCTTGTCGTGAGGAACGACAAATGTAACGCACATAAGTGTAGGGATGTCCTCCCATTTGCGGAACGGACCGCCCAATTTGAAGGTTCGTGGATGCCACCACTCAAAAGAATCTTCTACCTTCCATACCCCGAGCATGTCAAGGTAGACAAGAAGAGACTGCAAGTGGTGTGGACCCATGTTCAAGGTTGTGTCGTTCATGATGCCTACTTCGACCAGAGCATGCATAAATGGAGACCAGTCAACGACGTTTGATACCTTGATGTGTTGAAGCAGCGACACGAAGCTTGCTCGAGTGTACAGTTCGTATGCGGTAAGCTTCTTCTTCTTCTTTAATTCTGCATTGACTAGGCCCGGGATCGAGAACTGATTGGCCCATCCTTCATCCTGGAACATGTTCAGATACATAGACATAAGCAGTCTAGCTAGCTCAGCTGCGTCGTAACGAATTTTAGAAGTATCGAACGGCTTCCAAAGTACAATGGGTCTAGAAGTGGCTGCAGTGAATATTCTGTTCTTGTTCAAGTCGGGGGAGTTGGCGGCGTTCAGGTGCCAAACGGAGGTCGCATTTGTCCAGTATTGAACGGGCTTTAGACCGAGTAGTAGAGCGATTGTTGGAAGGTGTCCACAAAGCAAAGCGCTGGCTGAAGCTGCCATGCCGATTTCAGAGGGTATGAGCATTTCTGTCCGGAGGATGGACGAGGCGTTTTGGCGAATCAACGATGCAGATGCTGTAAGAATGTTGAGACAGCCCACAAAGTCGAGCAGATTAGATGTGTCAATAACATCGAAGGTTGCCGGTGCAGATCCGCCCTGCTCGTATTCAGGCGCGTCTAAAACCAGTGGGGTGTATGTCCATACGTTGCGATACCAACAAGCTGTGCGTGATTCGCCGTGTGCTTGTTGATGTTGGATAACATGACAGAACGCGACAGCGTCAGAGTTAACATATCGAATGGTGAGACGCGTGGAGGCTTTCCTGAAAGCAAAGCACCAGGCAGATAGCTGGTCGAGCGCTATCTGCATGGGCTTTGGCAGCTTTCCCTTTGTCGTCTCACTTGATACGAACAAGGGTGAGTCCGCGGCGAGTCGAGCATACATGGGCGCAAGGTGGAAGCCGGTGAGCGGGCTAGTACCGTAGTGGAGCACGAGGCCACTGCGATGGCAGATGAACATAGGATTGGCGATCGAGAGGTTCTTGGTGACCTTGTTGTCCTCCAAACATGTACCACTCTTCCAATATGTCTTATAAGCTTTGTCAGCCTCTTCGAAGCCTTGGGTCAAGAGCGGGGCGAATGCGCGAATGCCGTCTCCCACGAACGCCGCCCCAGACGTCTTGAGGGCCTGCACCTGCTTGGCAACCTGCCATTGATCTTTCAGCATATCTTGTGTCACCTTGTACGTCTCGTCTTGAACTGGTTCCAACGCATACAGCGCCCAAAGCTTAGTAACGTTTTCCAGTGTGATGCTGTCACAGAATCGAATGATCATGCCATATGGACCTTCATTCCAGCTTTTCAACGACTGCGCAAGCTCCAACAGCTTTTTCGACTGAGAGCGCAGAACACCAGCGGATTCGCCATCAATAAAGATGTGATAGTATAGGTTCCATAGCTGTCGTACGCGGGTGCCTTTCGTGTCGTCAAGGATGAGTGTCAGGGCGAGTACGTTGCGCGCAATGATCTCCGCTTCAATGTCGCAGCATGTGAAGTCAAGCTTCCTGTCGTCTGCGTCCCGGTCAGTATATGCGGGTACAATGTATAGTCGAGGATAGCACTTACCAGCTCCAGCTCCACTATAAGCAGTGAAGAGGATGTTTCGGATATCCCCACAACCGAGTAGTAGCAGGGCGGCATCTTGTTCGCGCGGTAGGGATTGGGTCAAGCACACAGCTGGAGTGTTGCCGACGGGGTAGAAGAACGGCCCTTGCGTGATATGAACTGGCTTGAGCGACATTTTGCAGGCAGTGTCAATGGGGAGAGACTCGGAGACGACCGAGCAACATTTGTGTCGAAAATAGTTGTTTGCTTGGACCTGCATCTGGCTGCGGCTAGCCGGTTTAGGACAATCAGTTTCCTGCTCCCCTTCACTAGACGAGAGTCGCGGGGACTATATTGGTCGATTGAACGCGGCTGGGCCCTGTAGCGTTACACAAAACCCTCACCACAGGCACCTATGCATAGGATAGACCAAGTTTGCGTATCACCCGATTACTCCGCGCTCTTCTGATAAGCATGCATGCAAGCAATGCCTGCGTCGAGATTGCGACTTCTCCATCTGAACAACAGAAAGATTGATGGAACGAAAACATGGTGATACTCATGGATGGGTAGAGAACGAAGAGTAGGTCCTGGACGCCATACCACTTGAGCGAGCCCTTTGCTAGTAGAAATGAGTATGCGGATACACCATCTTCGCGTCAGCCTGTGTGGGTGAGCGCATGATGGTGTTTCCATCAATTTGATAGAGTCGCGTTGACGTCATGGCCAGGCCGCCTGCATCAACATCGTTGAAGTCCTTTCTCACAGTCAAGCTGCATGATAGCTCGCGTCGTACGGGCCCAGGTGCCGAGGTAATATCGCGCGATCTTTGGAAGTGAGCATGATGATGCCAGATGGCAGGTGTGAAGTTTGACGCGTCTCATGGCGAGGCTGGAAAGCGCGTCCGCTGTCTAGCGCTCCGCGCACGTGGGGCGTCCTCTCACCGGCTGCCATTGGCCGATTTCGGCAACAGTTCTCCCACAACACCGTTTGGACGTTGCGGCGACGATACCCACGGCATGTCAATAGGAAGATGCAAAATCAGAGGACAGGCGCGTGCAGATACATCCAGAAATTACATCGAGAGCAGATGATGTCCTGTTCCAATCGTACCTCGGTACTTTCTCCGCGATTGGACACTCTCGTCCTCCCATAGCCATCAACTCCATCGCACATCCATCGCTTTACCCATTCTACAGCTCTTCGCATCGTCCTTTTCACTCATCTAGCTTCCAGAATACATGTCCTTCCTCCTCCACGGCAGCACAGGACACACAGGCATGGGCTGGGTCGATCTCGTGCCTCGGGCGGGTAAACTCTACATCGGCGGCCTCTACGCCCTATACCAAGGCGACTTGATAGATAAAGCAGGCATAACGCACGTTCTATCAGTGATAGATTATGACCCTTTACTGCAAGAAAAGTTTAGGCATTTGAAACAGGTATGTTGGAAGGATCATCGGAAGCATGAAAGATGGATGTAGACTGATTCACGTTTAGTATGTGTTGTTTTCCCCTTTTCAGGGATGGTATCAGAATGATACCAATACTATTCCTCCTTACATCTAGATTTCGTTATCTAAGCATACTAACATCATCCCCCACCCCAGTTTCCACATCCGCTCAGAAGACCACCCAAACACAAACTTGCTCCAAGACTTTACCCCCGCTGTCCAGTACATCGACTCAGCCCTAAACGCCGAAAACGGCGGTGTATTCATCCACTGCGCAATGGGGAAATCGCGCTCCGCAACGCTCGTCTGCGCATACCTGATCTGGAAATATGACATCACCCCTGCCGCAGCGCTGGAGCAGCTATGTGAGGGACGACCGGTGTGCGACCCGAATCCGGGGTTTAAAGAGCAGTTGGAGGTGTGGGGGGAGATGTGTGGGGTTAGTGGCGAGGAAGAAAAGAGGAATGTGTATGAGGCGTGGGAGAAAGATAGATTTACGGGGGAGGTTTGGGAATGGGAAGCTCGCTTGGATAAAACTCGAGAACAGCAGTCACAGGAAAAAGTGGCGAGGTCAAAGTTGTAGGATGATAAGAATGCGAGTTATCATGACGTCTAAGTAAGGTGGACAGGGAAGAACAATACGTAGCAATGCCACCTCTTCTACCCGAAGCAAGGGGGCGGCCCTTTCCCAGACCTGCATCTGCATCTAGGCATTCCAAGGCTTCGATTGGCCCTTCTTGGGCTTGTAGCACTGCAGCCACTCGCTTAGCGCTTTCCTGAACAACGTCCGACTAACGGGTCCATCGGGCACGGTAGAACCCGTCGTCCTGAAGTCGTAGCAATGCTGCGCGTCCTTGAGGACCAGACCAAAGAGCTCGTTCCTGCTGGTCTTCACTCCACACTTGGGTACGTCCTGGATGACTTGAACGCCCTTGGGCGCGAAGGGCTCAGCAGAAGCGGGGGAGAGAGTGCGCCATGGGTCGAATTCACCATTGGACCAGTACGTGTTGGAAGGACGGATATCCCAGCCTCCGAAGATCTTGTTGGTGCGGGCGGTGTTTGGCCACTCAGGGAAGAGCGACTTGGGAGCGTTGGGAAATTGGCGGTGGCAGATGTCCTTTTGGTGCTCAAGCGAGTTGTACTTGGACACGAGTTGTTGGGGTCCAAGGTTGGCGGATTGGAAGTATCCTGATGGGTAAATTAGTATTATGCAAGGAGGGAAGTTGGGATTGAGAGAAGGAAGGGACTTACCCCACTGTGTGCAGTATTGCCACGTCCAGGCAATCGAAGCGGGATCTGTGAACCTCTGGTTCAGGTCACAGTTACCAGTCACGTTCAACTTGCCCGAGCACTCGGTTTCCAAGTAATCATTCGTGTTGTTGGCAAAGACAGGGTAGCTCGCCCATCGATCGACCGTCCATTTCGCGCCCTTGCTTTTGGACCAGCCCTCCGCGGGAGCTGTAGTGTTCGTCTTGGGGTCTTTCTCGAGGTAGTCGCAGAATTGACGGAGACCCAGAGATCCACCTTCCATACCGTAAGACTGCCATAGGTAGAAGGGAGTCGTAAGAGCATCAGCAAAGGTGGGGTTAGAGTTGTTGGCAGCTCCAAGTCCAAGGAACTGCTCCTTGAGCTTGGCGGTTGCGCGTGAGTCTGTGTCCATGATGTTGTCCATGTAGTTAACAGCAGCGTGGATATCCTCCGAGCAGTTTCCGAAGCCCTTGGCATGCATACCGCGCCAGATAGGTGAGAAGTAGAAGCTTTGGTCAACGGAAGCTTCGACGGGAGCTGAAGAGGCCCAAGACGCGTGGATGGTATCAGGGTACATGTTGCGCATGAAAGCGGCCCTCATACCGGGGTACGAGCCACCAACAAAAACCCAAGGAGTCTTGTTGGGTGTGAGCGTAGTATTGACACCCTTCCTGCTGAACTGCCTAGCAAAGGCGTCGACATCTTTAAGCGACTGCTCCGTGTTCAGGAACTCGAATGCCTCGGCTGGCGTGTTGAGGTCGATGGGGGTGGGTGTTGAGTTTCCGTAGAAACGATGCTCCCAAACGATTCCGATACCGTTATAGTCATCGACGAGCTGCTTGAAAAAGCTGGTTTCGTTTAGCAGCCTGGTCAGCGCACCTGGCTCTGCATCTGCCTCGCCCGTGTCGTAGAGGAAAACGGGACCGCCAGGCTTGTACGCATCCATGTTGACCCAGTACCTGTTAAAGAATGTGCCATGGTATGAAGGATCCTGGCCTTTCTTGTAGGCGAAGTGGTCGAGTGGCAGCTCGACATATTCCGGAGTGATGTTTCTGAGCGGCGCGGCAGCCAACACAGCCGGGCTATTTGACGTAGTCGCAATCTTGAGGGATTTGAAAGCCGTGGCATCGAAAGCGCTGTTTTCGGCGTCGTCGGAGAAAGTGACCATGGCCGAGCCATCTGGATTCATGCCCATGTCGGCAAGCAGATTAAGCTTGCGCTGAATGGCCGCATTCAAGGCGTTGGTGCCCTGCAACAGGGCGAGGGCCACTGCCGAGACGGAGACCGAGGACCGCATGTTGAGATTGATCGAAGTAACGATGCGTGGATAGGAACTGTTGTACCCGGATTACCTCCGCAAGAGATCTGCGAGAGGAAGGTATGGGCGTCGGGAGAAGAGCGAAGATGTTCTTCTGCGCAGCTTCGGTACCAAGGTTGTCAGACACACAGCCCAATCGACGGCACAGACCACGACAGCGACTCAAGGACGAAAGAACGGCGTAGAGATCCATCTTCGCCATCCTCAGGCCGCCCATATATACATAGCTAAGTTCGACGCTATACCGTTTTGCCGCCCATCCTGCGGCCCTTGGTAAGGGCCACAGGATCATCGGCTGCAAGGCTTACCGAGTCATTAAACTCAACGCCTATTAAACCACGGATGGCACCGAAAAAAGCTTAGGAGATCTGTCGTGCTTGTCTGTACCGCCAGCTCCAAAGCAGAAGGAGGTTTACGTAGTGACCAAGCGCAGTGGATCGAAGTACAGAAGCTTATCGGGCTTGGTGCTCGTATGGAAGGTCGATTGGTGGGGTCGTGCCAAGTAGTCAAGTCGGCTTCCTACTTTAGCCTAGGTGGCACGGGTTAGTGCTGCTGCTAGATTGATGCGCGCACTCTCCAGGGTCCGCACTGTAACACCGAGGCGACGGGTGGCCAATTTACCTGGGTGCGGTCTGGACGAAGAGTAGATCTTGTGGCGATGAGTACCGCCGACCCGTGGATGTTCGTGGGAAGAGACCCATGGTTTGTGGAAGTATTGTTATCAGACATGCTACTACAGAGAAGGGCCTACTTCGATATTATCATTATCTTCATTGTTTCGACTGCAATGGTCCTTTGTTTGCAACTCGGCAAATATCCCGTATCCCTTCAACAACAACAACACATCTACCCCTTGCTGACCAACATTAGCCGGTCGTCGTGTCGTGTCCAGCCGTTCGTTATCCGAAGAACGGAATCTGGCCTCCAACCGAAGTATTATACATAAGAAAAGATCTTGCAATTAAAATTACCAAACACATGCAGCTCGCAGAGAGCCGCTTCATATCCATACATTAACCCCACAAAGTGTTCCAGATGCCGGGTATCGAAGGTTGCCACTACGCCGGACCGTAAAGATCAAATACCCATGTAGATTAGCCGAAGGTACACAGCCTTCTATGTGCCATGTGTCGTGTTTCCCAGCTCAATGTTGAGCCATGTGGCTGCCACCAGTCGCGGCATTCGGGAATGCGATATCTGGCCAATGGCTGGGAGCGTGTCCCTGGACTCCGGATGTTTGGACAAGCCCTTGGCCGTCGCTCCCAGTTCCCTGGGACCCACCGTCTCGACCCAGTGTCATGAGAGTGGTTGCTGTATTTAGATATTCACCGGGCTGGCTGTGTGGCTGCATGTATGCTCGTGTCCATTGACTCCAGTCTTGAGGAGCATAGGTATTAGCCGCGTACGCGGGCTGGTGGCCGTTGTTGGCAATTTGCGCATTACTGTAGGCGTACGCATCAGTTGAGGGTTGCGACATGCTACCCGAGCCTGCTCCTGCCAGTGCTGCTGCATGATTCGCATGCATGCTTGTCTCATCGCCGTTGCTGTATGCGTGTTGTTCGTACGTTCTATTCGTATGCTGAGGGAGAGCCACCGGGGTGCCAAGACTGTATGGATGTGTACTGTTTCCCGGAAGACCACTGTACGGGCCTACCGATTGTGAGGTGAGGGTAGGGTCCGTGGGTGAACTGGATGAGGTTGTGTACTGGTCGCGGTACCCGCTGTTGTCGTACGTGGGGGCGGTATTCGTCGATCGGGGTGGAGCATGCATCGCTACGCGAGCGAGAGACTCGGTCGCAGTTCGCTTGACAATGTTGTCGTTGATGTTACTAAGCGACTGGTCGACGATCCTTGCGACGGCAGTTTTGAGTTTGTTGCCGGATCCCAGAAACTGGTCGCATTCGCCGAGCACATTGACCCAGGCTGCCATGTCGCCTTTGAGCTTTGTCATATCCACAGGCGACAGTTGCTCTTGCCGCATAGACGAGATGAAGAGAGTGGTGAAGGCAGCGGCAATGTAAACGACCGTGTTAATCCAGGGAATATCCAGACTCTTTTTGTTCATCATCGCCGTACAGTTGTGCAGCATCTTCTGCGATGCAGTCAGGCACTTGTCCAGGTTAGAATTAATGATGGCCGTGTCAGTGGACCTGCAAACAGCTGGATGGTGTAGAAGCAGGTTGAACGCCTGATACCAGTACTCGAGATACAAGGCGAATATGTGGTCATCTTCGGACGCATGCGACGGGTCGCGCAACTCGTAAGGGAGGTCCTCTTTCCACTGTTGTATGCCGGCTTCGAGGCGTTTCAAGCCCTCCAGGTATGATTTTGGCGAGTGTCGAACAGCATAGATGATCTTGTAGAGTTCCGTTTCCCAGACAATGTACTTGGCCATTTGGATGCCAACTTGGAACGAGCATTGATGGAAAATGTCCAGCTTGCCTTCCTCGCCAGGCAGACAGTCGTTCATTGGATCCGGGAATTCAACATCGATGTCACTTATGCTGATGGGTATAGGCCGTCCAAGCTTTCCGCTGAGGTTGACCAGCAGCGCGTGCAGCGTCCAGTAGACTCGCTTCCTCATCTCGATGTCCAGCTTGCCGAGTTCTCCGGTGCCGTCTACCCAGACTTTGACAGATCTATGCAGACCCAGTTGGACAGCAAATAAGTAGACAGTCGAGGTCATGATCCACGCCGCGCCGGGCTTGGGGAAGGTCCGGAGATGGTGGCATATCATGGCCATGGCTTGAACGTCTTCCCAGCCGTGGTCTCCACGGATGAGCTCCTTGTAGAAACTCAGCGCATACATGTAGTGGGCATGCGAATCGTCCAGCATGGTGCTGCCGCTATGTTGGCTGTTGCGGGTCGCGATCTGGTAGGTGATGGTCGCGAGCATCAAGTGAACCGTCACAATCTGGGGTGCAGTAGGAACGAAGCTGGTGTCGTTGCCGAATCTCCAAATCTATGGGCATTAGCGGAGCGCACTGTGGTAACGGGTGGTTGGCCTACCAAATCCATGAAGACGGGCTTGTGGACAAGCATCGTGTAGGGGTTCAATGAACGCAGATACCAAATGGCGTACTCTTGCAGCTCCGGGTATGGCGGTAGTTGGGGCTCGTCGACATGGCGACTGCCGATTGCAATGTCGATCAGTGTCGTGTAGGACATGGGCGAGCTCTCGTACTCTTCCTCGCCTGCCATGAAGTCGGTAATGTTGATTTCGGTGCCGAAGATTGACAGCGAGGTGCCTTTGATATGGCTCAAGAGTGAGTCTCCCGCCGCAACACCGAGATAGTTGTCGCCGATGGAACCGTGCTTGAACTGCGGCAGCGTCTCGATCTTGCCTGGAGTGCCGGCTGGCGCGTAGCCGGGCAGAGGAGAGGTGCTTGTGCGTCGCGGGCCATCGTTCCACGCCTGGCTGTCGCTGGGGGCGGAGGACCACGGGTGGCTGGGCGGTTGGAGGGCATTGTAGGCGGGCGGCGCGCGGGGCTCGATGTTGTGCTCCTTTAGCTGGGCCTGGAGGTCAGCGATTTGGGCGCGCAGGTACGAGTTCTCCGACTCCATGGCCTCGGCATGGCCGCGGACAGTGGCGCGGCCGGTGATGCGGTCGGTGGTGCGGCAGGGCGTCCTGTTCTGCTCGCATGGCGTGCAGCCCTCAGGGCGGCCATCGCAGCGTATCTTGCGCACCTGCCGTGGTGGTTAGTGGTGTCATGGTGTTTAGGAAGGCGCGTCCATGCAATGACGTCGCTGGCGCAGTGGTTGCCAATGTTGTGAGACGACGACCGTCAAGACCAATTGACATGCACCAAGACTCCTTCATCGCGTGCGACTGACTGCATCACGTACCTTGCATCGATCGCACGCCTGACCCGTCCGCTTGGAGTCGGCGAGCTTCTTCTTGACAGAGCCGGAGAAGTCATTGTTGGAGGGTGGGCGGTGTTGTGGGCTCAGCGGGTCGGCATGCTCGATTCGCTGGATCTTGTTGACGAGATTGGGGTCATCGTCCGGGGGTCGCTTGGTGGCCATACTTTTCGTAATGCACGTCGAAACAGGCACGAGACGGGAAATGCCGATGGAGAAGACCGATGCAAGTAAACCCAGCAAAGGTGGTGCGCCTCGGGTGGCTTGCGACTATCACCTGTCAAACGAAAGACACATGACTTCTAGCGAGGCTTGCGGCTGCGCGGGAATTGAGCGTCGCTGCACGATGCGCGACCTCTGTGCAGTCTCGTCGGCCGGGTTGCGAGAGAGTGGAGGAAGAAGTGAGGGCTGGCTGCGCTGGGAGTCAAAGGGTGCGAGTGAGAGCGCGTTTCTCGGCGGTGCGTTCTAGGGAACAGGCCCATTCTCCGCAAGCCCTCCAGCTATCGAGTCCAGTCCGCCCTTTATTGGCCACATGGCGCTCAGAAACCTGGACCTCTAGACGGCTGTGACGGTGCCTGCCCTGACATATTCGGCGAATTTAGTTTGTTCTCTGGCGATCGACACGATGATCCGTCCTGATTCGCCGTGCCACCTTCATTCTCTGGGACTAAATCTAGCTTGGCCGTCCCCGCTCCTGCCCAAAGCGGCCGTCGAGCTTTAGACTCACCCACGATCTGATATCCTTGGAGATTGCCAATGCAAATCGACAACTGACGAACCGCCTAGCAGCGTCCATCTCCATGATCACCAAAGAGCATCATCAACCACAAAGACGCCACTAGAGTTTTTTCATCACACGACGAAACACGCACGACGACATCACATCGCCAACAAGGTTCCGCCCCCGCGACGTGGTGCATTTCAACACCCAAACTTACGCCAACACCAATCCCATCTAACATGGCGTCCGTGCGAACCTTCACAATCCCGCACTACGAGGCCTTCCCTGTCCACGTGGCCTTATTCAAGGATGTCAAAAACGCCTCCTTCCTAAGGCGTCAACTACTCGAGGCCAATCCAGAGTTTGACTATGCCTTCTTGGACGCATCCATGGTAGGTCGTGGTTCACTACCTGTTCATTGCTTTTCGCGCCTCCAGCAATCCCCGCCTGTCAGGGTCCGCTGAGTCACCTGGATCAAAACAACACCCCACAAGTCAATAAAGTTTCGTGATAAGAGATTGCGAGGCGTGGATATTTTCCCCGCGGCATCTTTGCACCATGGTTAATCTCATCACACCGCATGAGTAAATCAGTCTGGCATCTGATGAGGCTGGATAACCCTAAGCACTAACTTATCCCAACGACAAAAGCCATGCCACATTTCAGCCCTACCCTGTTGTCACGGCTCATTTGAATCGCCATCTAAGATGGATCGACATTCACCCTCGGTACTAACAGATCACCCCAGATACTCTCACCACACCACCTGCTCTCGGCCACATTCCTCGCCTTACACGCTCACCTGACCAACCGTGCCAAAACGCGCACTCCACATTCCGAGCTAGTCTTCCGCCTCTCGCCCAACAACAACATTGGCGAATCATATAAGAAATTCGGCATCGCTGATACCACGACCGCACTGATTGCTGTCAAGCTACCCCTGTCTCCATCAACATCAACAGGGGAGCAGGGCGCTTATGAGAAAGATGAGAGCATCACCAATGAATCTGTGAGTAAGCATTTGGGCAGTGTGGTAGAGGGGACGAGGGTGGAGATGGGTGAGAATGGTGAGGAACTGGGTGAATGGTGTGATGTTGACAAGGTGAAGAAGGTGTATAAGCTGGGTGGAGGAGATAGTGGGAAGAAGGGAAAGAATGGTGGTGGCCTTAACGGGGAAGCGGACGCGGAGAGGAGGACAGCGGAGAAGAAAGGTATCGAAAGTGTTGTTCTGGGTGTTATCGCGCTGAAAGGGTCATGAGCCAGGGTAGGGTTCCTTGCAATGAACCACTAGGGGTGATCAGATGTTGAGGAGCCTCGACGCGTCGGGCTGACATGCGAGCCTGACCCGAGGGAAGAGAGAAGAATATTCGAAATACTAGGCAAACGGGTCGGATGCATGCATTCAACTCAAAAGAAACTTCTCCACCATACTATGCTACAGGTTTAGCGACCATATAGATACACTCTATAATTTACGAGAAAGTCGCCCAAGCTTATAACTCCCTGTACTCGGGCTTGAGGAAGTCGGCCATGTTCTTGGGCCTGGGGTATTGGTTCTCGGCGTGGTGGTGGTCATGGCCGTGGGCGTCGTCGGCCGGGCCAACGTACTTCATCTCGTATACGGATCCGCACTCCATGCAGCGGGACTTGGGCTCCTCGCGGGTAAGGGTGATCCAGAGGACGTTGTGCGAATCGGCGGGGAAACCGGTGCAACCAACGTACTGCTCGTTACCGGCCGAGTTGACGGTGATGGGGTCCTCCATCGTACCTGCACTTCATCAGCATCACATCACGCCACTAGTAGCCCAAACTCGCGCAAGCTCTTTTTTCCTGATCTTTCCGGGGACGGCTTCACGTACCGAGACGGCTGGCGTCCAATGGCCTCATGTCGAAGATATCGATACCCTGCATCTTTCCGAGAATTTCGAGACGCTCAAGACCGGTCGCCTGCTCGGCATCGGTGGGAACGGTACCGGGCTGCGCACCAGGGGGCAGAAGGTCCTCCTCGGTCTTGATTTCTACAGAAGTGACCTCGTCAGCAATTGATGGTTTTGGCCTATCGTAGCCGCGGCAATGCGGATGACGAAGTGCGGGCGCAACATACGGTCGAGCTTCTTGAAGCCTGCGAGGACGCTGGGGGAGTTGGCCGAGTGACCGGTCTCCTTCTGCGCAATGTTGCTCTCCTTGGCCTCCTTGCTCTCGGTGGACTCCCCTGCTATGGTGTCAATGGCACATCGTACGATAGCTCCTCGCGAAACATACAGCGGGCAAAGGTGGTGGTGAAGGTGCGGCGGGTCGCAATGGCGCGGGGGGCCACACGCCTTGCTGCGGCGATAGCAGAGCGCTGGACGAACATGGCGGGACGATTGGGGTGGAGTGGAGAGGGTGGGCGTGGTTATCGAGCTGGTGATGTTCGTCAGTCGCGAATTGACGAGCCGACGGCAGACGTCTTGGCGCTGTGATTAGGTAAGGCAAGCCACAGAACGCTGGTGACGCTGCCGGCAAGCTTCTGCCTCGTGGCCTGCGATCGTTGATTCATCAACGGCTCGTTTCTACGGCTTGCGCCATGCATCTGCAGCATCATGACCTACGCTGCCTTGATCTTAGACATTGGTGATTATTTATAAGACGGTTCTACGCACGACCGGTCTACCTCACAGCCTTCGATACACTGCTCTCAACCTTGGGACCACTCTAGACATCTTCACCCACTAACACACTAATTTGATAATTTTGGTTACTTACCCAGCATGTCTTTCAAACCAGCGCTCGTCATCGTCGACGTACAGGAAGACTTCTGCCCGCCAGTAAGCACCCACCATTCGCATGGCTGCCTCCAACTTAAAAAGCTTAGAACGGAGCGCTCGCCGTAACAGGTGGACGCGACATCGTCCCGACCATCAACGAGTTCCTCACATATCCGTTTGCTCTCAAAGTCGCGACCAAAGACTTCCATCCGCAAGACCACGTCTCCTTCGCCTCGAACCACTCTCCGCCGAACAACAAGCCTTTCGAATCCACCTTCACCATCAAAAACCCGAACAACCCAGAGGAGACGCAGGAGACGCGGCTATGGCCAGACCACTGTGTGCAGGGCACAAAAGGCTCTGAGCTGCTGCCAGAGCTGGACGTCAGCAAGGTGGACCACATAGTCGAGAAGGGTCAGGACAAGCGCGTGGAGATGTACTCTGCGTTCGCGGATCCGTTCAAACGCCCATCTGTGGCCAAGAGCGATCTTGCAGAGACACTGCGCAAGGCCGAGATCACCGACGTCTTTGTCGACGGTCTCGCAGGCGACTACTGTGTCAAGTACACTGCGATCGATGCACAGAAGGAGGGCTTCAAAACATGGGTAGTCGGTGATGCGACAAGGGCAGTCGATCCGTCAGCAATGGAGGAGGTCCACAAGGAGTATGAGAAGGTTGGAGTGACGGTCATAGCTAAGGACGATGCACAGGTGCAGAGGGTCAAGGAGCAAGTCCAGCGGACTCAGGACCAGGGCGCGAAGGATGCAAGCAAGGCCGGCGAGAGTGTGCTGGACTAGACGACAGTCATGAACGTCTGATAGTAATCGAATATAAGGTGTCTCGTCAGATCTTTGGCGATGTGCACCCCTTGACAGCGACGTCATCGCCATGAATCCTTCTTGCGCCCGGTTCTCCCGGAATGCGGACGCGTAGCATTCAAGATTATCATCGCGCGACATCCGGGCCGGCCCCCACTGTATCTGGTGGCACTGTTCCTGGAATCGCAGGTCCTGGGTATTCGGAAGAATAGTCGTGCTCCGAGCCGTGCCGCATGCGCGTGTCGCGTACTTCGTATGGCGGCGCTTTGGCATGTGCCGACTGCGGGGCATGGGGCAGCAGGCCTGCAGAACACAGCCTGGCGATCGCTATATTAGTGCCAGTCAGCTGGATGCTCAAAAGACTGCATGCTGTGTCGCCTGGCGCCCTGGACCCCTCACTGCACGCCCTTCCACGGTAGAGCGTTGTTGATGTTTACAGTTTGCTGCTAAACAGGTCCAACGCGCGGGGTCGCTAGTTTTTGTGAAGCCCCCATCGTCATTGCTGCGACTAAGCTCACCCTCGCCGGCACCCGAAGCACCAAGACATCCTCTGCCGGTACTTCGCTGCCTGCTTCTGCCCGCCTCACCTCCACCACTTTTCCCTTTCTCTCCCTCTGCGGCCTGTATTCACCATGCCGCACCTCCCTATAGTCTCCAAACACCGGCGGTCGTCGCTCACCAGTGCGTCATCTCCCGAATTCCGGCCGTACCGAAGCTGATGCAAGTTTGAATGTTTAGGTAGCCGCGGGTCTTCCATAGACGAGACACGACGACACGAGGGCGGCGACGAGACGACCAAGGAGGACGAGACCGTCATGGATTCCGAGCAGGGCAGCATGCTCTCCCACATCATATCCCAACTGCGACCTGGCGCTGATTTGAGCCGCGTCACGCTTCCCACCTTCATCCTCGAACCGCGATCGATGCTGGAACGCATAACAAAGTGTGTAGCGCATCTAGGCTTGGCGACGGGTGCATAGGCTGACTATCAGGCAGCTTCATGGCACATCCGGAGACGCTTCTCCCTATAACCACGGTGGAAGACCCCGTACAGCGATTCGTAGCAGTGACAAAGTTCTACCTGAGTGGTTGGCACATCAAGCCCCCGTATGCATCTCCGTCGTCTTCTTGCGCCCACAAGCAACAACTGATGTGACTTAGGGGAGTCAAGAAGCCGCTCAACCCCATCCTGGGTGAAATCTTCACAGGCTACTGGGACTACCCGGACGGCACCAAGGGCTACTACATCTCCGAACAGACGTCGCACCACCCGCCCAAGTCGAGCTACTTCTTCATGGCCCCCGAGCACAACATCCGCATAGACGGCACCCTCAAGCCTCGAAGCAAGTTCCTCGGCAACTCCGCGGCGAGTATGATGGAGGGCATCGCAGTTCTGCGGCTACTGAACACCGGCGAGCGATTGTAAGTAGAGCAGATGAACACCACAACTTGAGGCTCACGACGTGTAGTTTCGTCACTCAACCCAACATGTACGCGCGCGGTATTCTCTTCGGGACGATGAAGTACGAGCTTGGCGACCACGCATACATTCGCTGCCCCGAGACCGGTCTCACTGCCGATCTCGAATTCAAGACCAAGGGTTACTTCAGTGGGTCCTACAACGCTATCGGTGGCTACATCAAAGACTCCAGCGGCAAGAACCTCTACGAGCTCTCGGGTCAGTGGAACGAGGAGATGTACATCAAGGATCTGACAGTAAGGTTCCCACTCTTGCAAGGTCAGAACATGTACTGACCATTTGTAGACTGGCAAAAAGGAGCTTCTGTTTGATGCAGCACATACCAAACATACCCCACCGTCGGCCCGGCCTCTCGAGGAACAAAACGACCGAGAATCGCAAAAGCTCTGGCACGATGTGACCGAGGCTGTGAAGCGGAGAGACCAGGACGTCGCAACCGATGCCAAGGCTAAGATTGAAGACATGCAAAGGCAGGAAGCTGCGAAAAGAAACAGCGAAGGTGTGGACTGGCACCCACAGCTCTTCAGACGCGTAAAGGGCGGCAGTGGCGGCAGCGAAGAGGGCGAAGAAGACCTCGACTGGATCATCAATGCAAAGATGTCAGTACCCCGCAAACCCTCTGTGTGCGTTTCGTGCTAACAGGATGTAGTGATGGCAAGACGCCTGACGAGGTCGTCAAGCAGATCCTGCAGATCTACGCGATCCTCCCGGGTCAGAAGCCAGACAAACAATTCAACATCCCATCGCGAGCGAGCGAAGCGCATCTACCACAGGCACAAGGAGCTGTACAACCAGCGGAACAAGTGCCCGCTGGACAGTCAGCACAGTCTACGGAAACGTTGCAGCCAGTACCATCCGAGCCTACAAGCGTGCAGTCGCAACCAGTGACACAACACGAACAGCAGAGCGTAGGTCTTCCCAGCAACTTCGACGGAACATCGACTCATGCCCCGCCCTTCAAAAACAGCAGCATCCCCAGCAATCCTAGCAACCCACCTATTCCACCTCTCGAAAAGCCCTATTCGCGACCTAGTGCGATCTCACCCGAGAACCGTGAGGCCTTCGCCAAGGAACTGCCTCCCAGCAAACTCCTTAATTCCAACCCCGAACCAGAGCCACGAAAGGACGATCTCCTGCGGAGGACCGATAGTGAGACTCAGGAGGACGATGAGTTCCATGATGCACAATCGTGAGTTCTTTTTCCGAGCTCTCGTTGGCTCCGCTATCGATACCTACTACCATAATCTGGTACCTTCTTTCTTTTTGTTGTCCTGGGTCAAGGCTCACGATCCTATCTATAGAGTTCTCGAATTGAAAGAATCCAAGAAACGCTGCGGCGGCGGATGCTTTTCAACCTGCATCCCATCATAATATTACCCCATTGCGGCCTTCATCTTATCCCGTGTCTCTAGCCTGGTAATGGGTCGTGGTTAGATGGTTTGTGGCATCGAATGCATTTCTGGAAAGTACTAATCCATGTTGGCTTGCGCAATGAACTAGTTCGTGAATGATGCAGCTTGGGCGGTGTTGCCTTGGGATGCCTAGATCATGTCCGGGGATGGCAAGGCTGCAGCCACGTTTTTGGACAAAGTGGGGTTGGTGGCGTTGCACCAAGGGTGCACGCCTAATCCGAAGACCCCATAATCCCGCCGTGCCGCCCTAGATACTCCACAAGCTTCTTTCAATAAGAGCTCGAGTTCCAACCTTCTATTCTGATACCAGCTTGTGTTTTATTCATCCTTCATCATTCATCATGGGCTCCTTCGATTGTTACTGTATCTTATGCTCCGTCTGCATGAACATTGGCGCCATCAGGATTGGATCGAGAAATGGCAAGTCTTTGCGCAAGAGAGATCGTCTAATGGATATAAGGATGGGAAGACGTACTGGGAAGAAGGTGGGACGCGGGATTGTCTACAGTGACGATGAGGACGAAGAGATGGAAGATGCGATCGACCCCGAAGCCGTTGAGAAGCAACGCATCGAACAGCAAGAACAGGAGGAAGACGATGCAGATTCGAATTACGAATGTTCCTCGGATTCTTCTTCGGAAGACACAGAATCTATCGATAGCAACGACTCCGACCTACTTACGAGATCATCCGAGATTCTTGACGTCGCCCTTCGACCCCGTACCCCCGAGCCTGAGCCTATGGAGGAAGTGGATGATGGAAGTTGGTCGCAAGATCCCGAGTTGGACATTAGCGAAGAGTGGGGACTTGACAATTATGCCAGTACCGAGAACACTGAGGACAACAGTTTTGATCCTAGACTCATCGGACTCGACGACGTCAAATGGATTAATCGGGTCCGCGCACTGGCACTCAATCCCGAGCGGAAAGCCTACATATCCGGTAGAGGCCGCTACTACGACTATGGCTCTCTAGATATCGAAGGGCCTGGAAGAGATCCCAATGATCCGGGCGAAGGTTCTTTGAACATCACGAGCTACGCGAGTGGGGACGAACAACAAGCTTTTCCATTCCACGAGGCATGCTTCGACATTCTCGCAAAGAGCGTAGGACTTCAGAGCAGAGATGTTAATAAGCATGTGATGTTGAGAACGTTTAGCGCTCTTCTTGCAAACGAAAGACCAGTTTTGGATGTGGACTATCAGGTCTTTTCGGGCAACGAGCAATTTTGGCATAATGGAGCGGGATCGGAGTATGAAGTGTGCGATCCTGCCCCCCGACCTGCTCTCCAAGAAAGTATACAAGACATCCTACCCGCTGACATTTTCGGTGGGAGTCCGCAGTTGGCAAATCTAGCGCACAAGGTGCGAAGGGATCCAATTGCAGTCCTCCCGTACGACCTGCTTCTCGAAATCCTTGGATATGTTGACTCCAAAGACATGCTTTCGCTCATGCAAGCTTCGCATCACGTCAATAGCGTCACTCGCGAAGCCGGATTCTGGAAACATATGGTACGCATGCGTGTATTGCCATGGTTCTACGAGTTGCGTTACTTCGTGGAGACTGCGACCACCGATGCGCTCGACTACAAAGGTCTTTTTCTCTGGGTGGATGCATCGACTCGTCCCAGGTTCGGCATCCAGGGACCCCTCATGCACATAGCGAATCGACGCCGGATCTGGGGCTGCTGCCAGCCCGTAGCCTCCCTCTACAAGAAAGCGACTGGGCCGGTTGAGCCCGCTGAGCCGGCAGACTCGGAGGAAGCAAAGGCGATTCTGGACAGCTCCCTATGCTTGCACATGCCCATGACCATGTATCCCCCGCCAGCTCAGACCGAGACCGTTTCGGCACAGTTTATCCACTCTTGGAATGAGATTACTCATCGTGCTTGCGTATTGGACACCTACTGGCGCCAGATTAACGACAGCCACGACTACTTAGTGGGAATTTCCGTCACCTTGGGTGACCAAACAAGACTTTTTGGCAGCTCTGATGGATTTACTGGACTTCCGTTTCATCTTGATCGTGGGGAGTGGATCAAGGAGATCGTCTGCTGTATCGAAGATATTGTGAATCAGACCGGGCCTCATGGGAAGCCTGAGGATCCTTGGCCATCCAAAACTGCTATGATCAGCGGTATCTCTGTACGCTGGGCTCACCATCTCCGAAGAAAACTATACTAATTAGAAGTAGGTGACACTGAATAGTGGGAGAGAAAAAGGCTTGCATCAGAGTTACGCTGGTGTGCGGAGGCCGTTCCAAGTGTTGGATGGCATGCACTTAGTAGGAATGACGGGTCAAATTGCTTCGGTGAGTTGCCAAATGCTGCAGCCGTCTGCGCTACTCTACAGGCATCTACTGACCTCATTGCAAGAATGGAGCTATCTCACGTCTCGGTCTTCTTCAAGCATGCAGACCGGACTCAGCACCACTCGCTCAGCCGCGATATACATCCGCTCAGCAGATGGCATGGGGAAAGCTTGGATCATCGCTACCCTACGATCGTATTGGTCAAAAGTATCCTCAACAGGCTTCGGTCTGGGCGCATCCTACGATCCATTTCGAGTCCTTCCCCACTCCCACCCGCCCCATACCGTACGAACTCCCCGAGGATATGATGCCCAACGATGTGTTCATGTGGAACAAGAAAAACACAGGTATTGAATGCTTTCAGCCCGTTGCAACGAGTATCTCCATGCCTCACGATTCGACCGAAGAATCCATGCAATCGACCAGCGCAAGCCCCGCAACGACCGCTCTATCCAGCTCTCTTCCTGCAAACAACACGTCGTCACCGTCCTACCAACTCCACACCGGTATCGATATCGTCGGCATCAACCCCGGCCCTCATGACATGTGGGGTAATCGCGGCCGCATGGTCGGCTCTCGCGGACCCGTCCTATGTCAATCCCCCAAATGGGCGCACGATATGACTGAGCCTCTCCGAGAATCCCTCAAAGCCGCATGGCAAGATATGCACAAGACAGGCGCCGGGCCACATCCTTACCAAGAACAAAACACCGTCACTTTCCCGCTGAACCAGGAAGATATCACTGAAGTCCACGTCGAGCAGCAGTACCGCGCTCTCAAACTTGTTACGCAGAGTGGTCGGGTTGGCTACTTTGGGGAACCGGATATGCGCGATTGGTTCGTGAGGAAGGCGGTGGGTGGAGAGCGGATTGTGGGGATTAGTGCGTGTTTTGGGGCGTTGGGTGGGTGGAGTGAGTCGGCGAAGATGTGGAGTCATCTCAAGTTGAGTCGCGTGGGGGTGGTGTTTGAGAGGGTTGATGGGGAGGGGAGGGTGATTGGTAAGGAGGAAGAGACGGAGATGAGGGAGAAGGGTGTGGTGTTTGAGGAGGGTAAAGTTTTCATGTGCTCAGAGTAGAAGTGTATTGGCGTGGTGGTAGAGCTCCAGTATGGTGTTTTGCGCAGTGTGGTGCCGAGCTAGTTTACGCATTTGCGTAAACAGTTCTTTCACTGATTTAGTAGGTACGTTTGTCTCGGTCAATTCCAATTCAACATCATGACCTGTCCTTCCATATACCGCGTTCCAACGTATGATTGGATTTTCCTCATCGAGCACTTCGAGATCACAACAAGGAATACAGAATGCAACGTAGGGGGCGGTGACAGCGCACATATACGGCCGTCAGACGTAGTTCGCTATGGATGATCCTAGTAATATGCCAGGGACGGACCTCATCGCACGACGAATCCAGGCTCTCATCACAACATCTCCGGACCGGCACGGAAACAACTTACAATCTGCCAACGACTCACCGTTCAGTACAGCAAGCCAATTGAGAACGCCGCGGACCTGAAGATCAATGTTGTCGCGTCCACGATGATGCGTCGTTCCCCACGCGCGATAAGGTTCGTGCTTGACGGTCAGTGACATCATCCCTCGCGAAAATGCCTGGGCAGCGCAGCTAAACACAGCCTACTTCTGACAAGGTTGCGCTATCCAGATCTGCCACGTTGATCCGCGCTTCTCTTGGTACGCGTCTTGGACAAATACCGCAAAGTATATACATTGCGACTGCAGCCGGAATGAGCTCGTCGTGGTTGCCGCTCGACGACAACGACGCGATGCACGACCCGATTGAGGAGCTGCGCAACCCGCGTCAGGCCAAAGATGACTTTTTGAAGTATTTGAAAGAGGAGGTGTTGAAGTTGAACTTTTATCGCGCGCATATGCTGTATTTCGTCGTCGTTATCGCGATCTCCTCGGTCATTGTTTACGGGCAGGGTCTTGCTAATGGGCCCAAAGAGTATGGAGATGCGCATGTGACGTACACCGACGCGCTGTTCTTGTGCACCAGTGCTATGACAACTACAGGTAAGGGTCTTCCTCGCTCTCTGGGCTGGTGTGAGCCGAATACTAATCGATGCAGGGCTCAATTCGGTAGACCTCGGAGATCTCTCCGGCTTCCAGCAAGCGACCTTTGCCGTGCTGCTAATGATTGGCAACATACCATTTGTATCGACAGCAGTGGTACTCATCAGAAGAGCACTGTTCCGGAAGAAGATGGCAGATGTCGTCAAACATTCGCACACGATGCAAAGACTCGTGCAAGATATCGAGAACAGTCATTCGGATCAAGCAGAAAGCAGCAGCAGTACCGGAAGCCTGCGTCAGCGATCGAACGGAAAACAAAACCAGGCAGCAAAGAAAGTACAAGAAGAAAACGAGGAGCCGCCGCAAGCAAAGATGTATCCAAAGTCTAGAAGACGCACATATCATTACGAGACCGGATTTGGCTTCATACCAACACCCTGGGAAATCAAGTCCGCACGCAACTTCTTCAGCCGCATACTGGATCGCTTTTCGACAGAGTTGAAACCCGAGAAACACGACTACGTCTCCTTCAAGCCGCATCTCGACTCCAAGGGTCGATTCCGCGAGCTCAGTGAGCAAGATCGCATGGAACTTGGGGGTGTGGAGTATCGCGCACTCCAAGCTCTGTTGCTCATCCTGGTGGGCTATCAGATCTTCTGGTACCTGCTTGGTATCACTTTCCTGATACCGTACGCATATCGCAACGATACCAAAAGCACATTGTATCAAGAGCAGCCAGGTGCCATCAACCCAGGATGGTGGGCATACTTTGCGACGGTGACGGAATTCTCGAACGGTGGACTCAACGTACTCAACGCTAACTTCGTTCCCTTCAGCGGCAATGCATATGTTTTGCTTGTGGCCGCATGTTTGGCCTTCGCTGGTCAGACGCAGTTTCCGATTTTACTCCGCATCACGATATGGGTATTGAAGAAGATACTGCCAAAAGAGTCTCGCATCAGAAACACGATGCAATTCCTTCTACAGCATCCACGACGATGTTTCATATACCTTTTCCCCAAGCGCGAGACAGTATACCTCTTTCTTGTTCAGCTCGGTATCGATATCACTGCCTGGCTTTGCTTCGAGATATTGAACATCGGCATGCCAGATGTTGAAGCTCTATCCACTGGCGCTAGAGTAGTAGACGGACTCTTCATGGCCAGTGGACTACGTACTAGCGGCGCATACATCATCAACATGAGTTCGCTCGCGCCCGCATGCTTGGTGGCTTATTTAGTCATCATGTACATCTCGATCTACCCCATGACGTTGGTACTGCGGAAGACGAACACGTACGAGGAGAAATCGATCGGTCTGGAAGAGAATGATAGCAGTGCTGCTGGCGTAGCATCACACTTGCAAAAGCAGCTCGCCTACGACATCTGGTTCCAGTTCTTTGTCTTCTTTCTCATATGTATAATTGAGCGAGGTCACATCCTGAACGCATCACCAGGATTCAGCATCTTTTCGATATTATTCGAAGTCACATCGGCATATGGCACTGTCGGCTTGAGCCTCGGTGTACCGGGAAAGAACACCAGTCTATGCGGCGACTTTGCCAGCTTGAGCAAAGTCGTCTTAATGGCTGCTATGCTACGTGGTAGACATCGTGGACTACCTTTGGCGATCGACAGAAGCATTCTTCTACCCGGCGAAGAGTTGATGCATCGCATGGATCAAGAGTACAGCTCGAGGGGCACAGAAAACCCACAAGAAGAGGCAGAGCTGAGAGATGACATTGAATCAAGTGGCGAGCAACAAAAGAATGGTGGAAAGGGCGACCAAGATCCCGAAGACAGAAGAGGGTCGCAACCGGACAACGAGGCTGGTCAGGAAGGGGCGGGGGAGACAGTCGCAGAGTCCAACCCCTGATGAAGAAGGGCCGCAAGCACAGTGCAGCCGTGGTCCCCTCGGGAGTACTGTCGGCCAAACATCACCCCAGATAGCCACAACGATTACGTTGATACAGTCACGAGAGTCAGCTGACCCAACGACTCTACGGTCCGACACAATCCTTTGGGAGTCACGCGTTACACACGCATTAGGCGACTACACCGACGCAGGCTTTCCTATCGCCTTATGCACCACCAGACCTTCGGTCACACTTCCAGAACCCCTCACTCATGCATGTCGCGGATATGACCGAACCCACGGCTTCAGCCTGCGACGTCATCTTCCCCCTCAGCCATGCATACACAGATTCTATCAGCCCTACAAGGCATGCGAATCCATCGCGCGCATCCATCGCTCACACGCCACAGTTATGCGCCTCGAAACTAAGGCGCTCACAGATCCCCACCAGGTCTCAAACCCAGTTCGCATGAATACCGCCAATGCGACCCTGACCGACTCCACTGGACCGGAATCCAACGCACATCCCTGACACTTGCCGGAGCGTAGATCTGCATTAGGACTTCGGCATATGCGCTGACCGGGGACATGGAAATTGACTCGTTTGGTTCCAAGCTAGGGGGAGTGGTGGGGATAAGGGAGGATCTCTGGTCGATGAGATGGCGTGTTTACAGG